CGATCTCGGCTCACCACAACCTCCGCCTCCTGGGTTCAGGCAATTCTCCTGCCTCAGCCTCCTGAGTAGCTGGGATTACAGGCACACGCCACCATGCCCAGCTGAATTTTTGTATTTTTAGTATAGACGGGGTTTCACCATGTTGACCAGGATGGTCTCGATCTCTTGACCTCGTGATCCACCCGCCTCGGCCTCCCAAAGTGCTGGGATTACAGGCGTGAGCCACTGTGCCTGGCCAGGAAATGCTTTTAAGAAGGAATAAACAACTGTGTAGTTCTGTGAAACACTTAATCCGGCACAGAGGTACAAAATGAAACTCCAGAAAGAGAGTCGTGACTTGGGACGTTGGAAGGCTCCACATGTTAGCTTCAGATCAGAATGTTCCTTATTCAGTTTTCATGTAATCTGAGAACTGGTAGGTAGTTAGAGATCATTTAGCCTAACCCTTTCTTTTAGGTACAGATGAGGAAACTGAACCCACACAGAGAACATGACTTATCAGAGGTCACACATTACTGGGGGCAGAGCTGTGAAATAAGACCCCTGCCTCTCTAGTCTTATCAAACCTGGGAAAAGATGACTGCGTTGTGAGGAGAGTGGAGGATGCATACTCAGAAGCAGGTGTGTGCGCTGAGGTGGGCACCTGGGGGCTGCAACAGGTCATACCTCACCAGGACAGGACAGGAGAAGTGAATGCAGCTCCTTGTTCTCAGGAAACTGTTCCCACGAAACTGTTCCCAAGTAACTTCCCTGAGCATTGTCAGAAAAGTTCTTCTGTTTTCTACCTTGCTGCTGCTCATGTATTTTTAGGTCTTGAGGGAAAATCGAGCACCATTAGCGGGGTAGGGAGACCACACTGCTCTTTGCCATTGATCTGTCAGCTGCAGTCAGCCCAGGTTCCTAGCAATGCCCCTCATTTGCGAGGAAAATAAGTGGAACCAAATGGGTGGATGTCTAATCATGTACAGAACTAGGTGGAACCTTCAGCAAATCATCTAAGCTACACGAGTCTCAACAGACTCAACTCAAAATGAAAGAAATTGGACCACACCCTTTCTCTATGTTCTTTGGCTCTTCTGAGGATAAATTAGGCCATGCCTGCACAATATAAGTATATTAAAAGATATTATTCTTGTGATCATCATTTATGGAATATATTTTGGTGGTTTGTTAGTATTATCAGTCATATTCATTACCAAGAGAAGCAAAGGAATGAAAAAGCAGAATCAGGGTTTCATAATTGAGAGCTAGAGCAGAACTGTAGGTTCTCGATGCTCTGTCCACTGACCATATCACCTTGACTTCCCTGGGAGCACCTGTACTACATGTCAATTTGTGTCATTTGGGGAAAATGAATTAATGGAAGAGATAAGATCAAAAGTTGTAGCTTGGAGTAGAGCTGCTGCTGAAAATCTTAAAATGAAAGAAGACCTATCACTTTTACCCTGAGAGAAGAGAAAATTCTTTGTAAAGTTTTGTCTATTTTTGTTTTTTTGGTTATGTGTGTTTTTATTTGAATTGCCATTTTCAAGTCTTATTAGAGTTTGGTCATTTCATAATGATTGCCAAAAGAAATGGAATATACAATTTGTTTTAAATGTATATCTTTTGGTTCAAAATAATATACATTCATGTAGAATTTGGAAAGATATAAAAGTATAAATGAAGAAAAAACTAACATTACCACTTAGAAATAATAGTTGAGAATGTTGAGTTTCTTTTTTACATAATTATAAATCTGGGATTATACTTGCAACATCTGCAACGTATCTTCTTAGGATCTGTTAAATATTCAGACCCACAGATTACATTTGGTGCTGGTCCACTTGAAAGAAACCACAGTTTGGTGGGAGGGTAGCATTATGTATTTATCTCTAGCACATGCCCTTGCAGTGGTCCCGCAGAGCAATATAGCTCAGGTGCATGGAGGCTACACACACATCAGAGGATGCAGGAGTTACCCTGGCTGAAAAGCCACGCGGCCTAGAGGAGTCAATATATGATATAACGACTCCATAGGCATAGTTTCCAGGGTCCCACAATAGATATGCCAATTTACCAGAATCACTGTTATTGGAAGTCATAGCAGAAGCACTCTCTAGGTTATAACGGTTATCTGAGAACTGATGCAATTCAATAAGGGCTCAGTTTTACCTAGTGACATAATTGATACATGTTATCTTTTTCTAGGGAGACAGGCAGAAAATTATGAGGTCGGATTCTCTTATTGAAGGGAAAACACTCTTTCCCACAATACTGCATACTTTTTTTCGGTCTTAAAAAAATCTACATTTCATCATCATAGATAAGTTCCTTGAAAACATTTGCCAATTTTCTATGAGAAAAATGCTGTGTCCTTTAAAAAATTATTTTTCTTTGGTCATTGATGAGTTTAGAAATATTTATCTGCACACAGTCTATTGATTGTTAATTGCCTATTCTTGTCCTCTGTCATTTTGATTTTGGAAAGCTCATCTTTTTAAGTATTAAGGGTATTTACATTTGAGTCTCCTATGCAGCAAGCTTTTTTGCAGTCTTTACTTTTGATAGAAATTTTCTTAGGTAGCCAAATCTACCAGTTTGTTTTTATATGCTTGCATCAACACTCCTAAGTGAGATTATTGTTACTATTTGGGGTGCTTTTGTGGGTACTTACGTGGACTCGCTTTCTAAGTGCTTGACATCCATACTTTTCTTGTTTTGTAATATACATGGAAAAGTTTTTCATTTATGTTTTAGGCCGTGAAACATTTTATATAGTTTGAGATTTTTTATTCCTCCAATGTTTGAGGAAAGTTATTCCACAGTTATGTGTCCTGAGTTCTATTTTTTGAGATAAATTTTGGTATGTTTAAAATTTTATTCTATTGGTATTCATATATTTAGCTTTGCTACATCTTTTAGAAAAGTTTTTGATATAAGGCATCGTTAGTAAATATCTTCATAGAGTTACCAATTTTATTGGCACAGAATTGTACATATAACTTAAGTCTTAAAAACTTGATATTTTTATTTACTTCTGCTTACATGTTTTCTTAACTGTGTTTTTATGTGTACCTTTCTATTATAGACTAGCTAGGTGGATGTACATTTAATTTATTCTATTTTCTTATTTTAATGTTCTGCTCACAATTTTTAATAAATTTCCCTTGCTTTCTTTACATTTTAAAAAATAATCTCTATAATTACAAAAAGTAACTAAAAGGGAACCTAGGCCATGATAAATGAAATTTCCTGGGACTGGGAAGAAGAGAGGAAATATGTTAGCAAGTCAATGGATCACTCAGGGATGCCTGTCTGAATGCACAGGAACATGATATGCTTATGAGACAGGAAGAAACCAGGATCCAATTCCAGACTGAGCCCATCGCCTCCAGGTAGAGCCACCATGAAGCCATAACAGACAGAACCCAGTGTGGCCTCTTACTTTTACATGGGGTGGAGTGTGTCACATTGTGAGGTACATGGGAAGGTGTCTTGTATGCTTTCTCTTATTCTGCAGGCTGGTAAGAGGGATACAGAGATTAGTCTTCCTCTGGGGAATGGGCATACCTTCCTTCACTCTAGAACTGGAGAAAAGAGGTCTTAATGGGGCTTCTCAGTGGGATTTCATTTCTTTCAGAAGTATCCCAGAGAGGGCAAAGAGCAGTTCCAGCCAGGTTTTTTGTTTCCCTATTCTTGACCACTTAGTAAATGCCAGGCACTGTGCTAAGTCATTTCTAATCCCCCCACAACAATGCATGAGGTAAGCATTCACTTGTCCTTATTTTGAAAGAGAGGGAACAGTGAGGTGACTTGCCCAAAGCCAGGATGCGAATCCAGGTATGCTGGGCAGCAAAGCTTGTGTTTCTTAGCCTCTCTGATACATCATGTTGTGGCTCATCAATGCTATTAGTCCTTACAGCACAGTCTTATCATTTAAGGAAGAGCTTTGTAGAGCCTGGGATCAATGAGCCAAATAAATTTATTATGCCCATATTATTTATCTTCAAAATTCTATTCCATTTCTTATCCAAAAGCAAGCCAAACACTGGCACAGAAAAATAATATTTGAACTGAGTATCGGAACAATTGCTGTATTCGTCAGCATGCCAGTCAAGGTTTTTATTCCTGCCGAATAGAGGGCAGGTAGAGGAGGAGGGAGAGTTGGGGGACTCAGCTATTAGAAGAGACGGAGGGAAATGGGAACTAAGATCATATCCCGACTAATCTGACCTTATGGCATATTTAAGCAGAAACCATTTAAAACTCCCCCTAATAGCATTTTCAAAATAAAAATGTCTAAGTGTTAAATCACTTGACCAGACAACAAGGATCTGCAAACTTTTATGCTGTTAAGCCATCTCCCTGGAGGACTGTCTGGCCAATCTTTTGCCTCATGAGAAAGAAAATGAAATAAATGAAGGTAAAGTTGCAACTTAATTTAATGCGATATAATGTGAACAGAGCCAGAGCCATCAGGAATGAATCACAGCCAACTTCAAGTTAAGCAATTTCTCTCATCTCTGGCCTCTCTGGAAGTTCAATGAGAACAGCAGGAGATACCGGCCTGAGAGATTCTATTCTACTCTAATCTCGGTTATAACAGTGCCAGCACTTAGCATTTAGAATCTCTTTTGAATACACGCAACTCATAGCATATTTTTTCAAGAGGACAACAGTTGTTCTTAACACATTAGCCAGTCATACCTGTTGATTTATAACATTCTCACATGCTTTTTAAAAATATATCTTTTCAAAATTCAGATACCGAAAAGCAAAAGCTGTCTATACAAGACAAGAGCTATCTTAATGAGTTTTTCTGCAGAGCTCCATTCACTCTGTTTTGGCTGGAACAGGATGCTACTGATAAAGCTGCTGGGTGAATACTCAGGAAGAGAAGAAAGAAGAGAAAAAGCAGACAGGAAATATTCTTGGGTATCTGACAATAAAAAGGAAAGTGTATTTCTGTACTTACAATAGCAGTTGGGGTGGCAGCCAGCACACAATAGAGCACCAGAGGGGTGATGAAGCTTTCTTCCTCTGTCCCTGGGTAAGGCTTCATTAAGTCTCCATCCTGACAGAAGAATCCTTGGATATGCACCTGAAAAGTGTCAGTGCATTCGAAGTAGTAGGCAAGCAGCACTGTTCCAGCCATGATGACAAGCTGAAAATACAGCATGGCCACACAGAGACATTAGCAGGGCTTCGGAGCAGCCCTTGCCCCTCAGAGTAAACTCCCTCCATCACCCCGGCAGCGGCTCTCCTGATATTGGTATTGGCGAGTGTGTGCGTGCCTGGCGCAGCGTGCTCTGGGAGTGTGTGCTTGCTTGTCTGCCTTGTAACATCTGTTCTATAAACCTTCCAGCAAATAATGAGCAGCTCCCATCTGAAAGGCAGATCCCAGCCAGGCTTGTAGAGAGCCTCAGCCCTTGCTGCCCACACTTTCAGAGTCTCAAAGTATGTATGCATGGGAACCAAGACACTATAGCCATTTAGGACAGAGGTGAAAAGTCAAAGGGCAGTGGCAAAAGAGCTGGCAAGACATAGATGTTCACAAGAAATTTCATACAATATTACAGGTAGACTTATGAAATATGAAAGTAGGTAAATCATGAGTAAATGAAGGAATATGAAAGGGAGATAAATCATGAGTAAATGAAGGAATGGACAAATGAAGAAATTAACAGGAAAGCTAAATCCTAAATGAATCAAGGGAAATTTTGACACCCTAAGTTATTGGCAGGTATTCTATATCAGTCATAACTTTTATCTTTTTCCAAAATGGTTTCTGCCAGTAAGTCAAGGACTTAGCTGATGATTGTATCTTATTGTAGAAATACCGTCTTCATAAGATTTAGACATAAAAAAAGACAGTTATCCTTTCGTTTTGACTCATGTGTCGTAGATACTCCCTGAAGTCTAGTTATAGTTTTTAGCAGGTACGTGGAATTAAGGGGATATGGAAATGTAACAGTTTTTTCCATTCATATTTGGAAATCATTAATGCCAAGATAAAATGGTGATAAAGGTAGATAGGAAATACATCTTTGAGGTCATGAAATTACAGAAACTTAAGCTGGGGGATATCTTGGAGTTCTTCCTGTCTGACGCCTTTATTTCATAGATGAGGAAAATGGAACTGATCACTGCCTGATTATCCAAAAATTAAAGTAAACATGTTCTTAGATTGAGCATTAGCAAAACAGGGGAACTAAAATGAAGAAAATATATTTTCAAATGTTGATTAGTTTAAAGGTATTAAAGTTATTATGTAAAAAAATCAGAACTTGGTAGGACATCTTTAGATATCTATGGCTTATTTTGAAGTACATATGAGGCAATGAGGGGAAACCATAATCTTTTCAGGGCTTAAGAAGACTGAAGTTCTTATTTCAGCCCTGGAATGATTAATCCAAGGCCACACAGCTGGTTCGTATTAGAGCCACAACTAGAAACTCACATTTCCTGATCTGTAGGAAAAAAAAAACCACCAAAAATCTGAGCTGTATCAGGATCTAAAACTGCATCTTATACAAAAAGGTGGCGAGAGATGGGGGAGGCGAAGTAGCTGAACTCCAGCACAGAAAGGCAACATTTGGTATTCTCATCCATTTTTCTATCCATTGCTTTAGCCACAACATTGAAGCACACCCTTGACCCTCTGCCCCACTCTAAATCCTTCTCTGGAACCAGCACAGCCTCTACTTCTGGAATAGTAATCCTGCAACTCTTCCTTACAACAACAGACAGCATCATTTTCTTTAAGGGTCATTTGAAGTAAGAATCTTCCCTCTTCCCTATCCTTCCAATTTCTCCTCTTTTGATGCCTTTCCTCTTTGGTTCAGAAGCCTGTGGTATCTCTCAGTTATAATGTGTCTCAAGTACAAACTTCTGGGTTTGTTGTTGTTTTTTGTTGTTGTTGTTTTGCTTTTGGTTTTTTTGGGCAGAGTCTTGCTCTGTTGCCCAGGCTGGAGAGTGCAATGGCAGGGTCTCAGCTTACTGCCACCTCTTCCTCTTGCCTGGGTTCAAGTGACTCTCCTGCCTCACCTCCTGAGTAGCTGGGATTACAGGTGCGCACCTCCACACCCAGATAATTTTCGTATTTGTAGTAGAGATGAGATGCAGTTTCACCATGTTGGCCAGGCTGGTCTTGAACTCTTGCCCTCAAGTGATCCACCCACCTCAGACTCTCAAAGTGCTGAGATTACAGGTGTGAGCCACCGTGCCCAGCTTCAAGTATAAATTTCTAACTATCTGATCTGAAGGTGTTTACCTTTTGGCTACATACATTGCCCCCTTTCCTTTTATTCCAGTTAGGCCACAAACCATCTCTCCATTCACTAGCCCTTATACGTGACTTGTTTCTGGATATTTATGGATTACATTCATCTAGTATCTAGCATTTTCTGCTCCTAGGAATGTGGATCTCCCATCACAACTTTGGACTGTCCAGTAATCTCTGAATACCTCCATGTGTTTTTCCATTGTTTATTGGTGCCACATGTAAATCACCAATGTTTATGCCTGCCTTCTCTGCGGTTTGAAGTAATTGGTTTATTTATTTTTCTTATACCAACAGAAAAGAGGCTTAGATAAGTATATTTCCTATAAGATTGAGAGAGATACTCCAAACCTACCCCTGCTAATAAGTGCTCTTGATTGCAGCTAGTTTGCTATGAAGTCTCTCTTTCTTTTATGCTTGACTGGTTAAGTGGGTTGACCTGATAGAAAGGAGCCTAGTTACTTGACCTGATGTTTTGAAGATGAAATAGCACCAGTATTCCAACAGCCTCTGGAGTTCTCTCTGTGCCGCTGAACAGGGCTGATCTGGGATTTTTGTGTGTCTCATCCCTGTGGCTGGAAACGCTTTTCTCTCTCTTGGCTTCATCTGCTTTTGGGAAATATCTTCTTGGGAATAGGCAAGATCTATGGGGGCTTCTGGACAAAATATAAAAACCAAACTGACATGTAACTTCCTCTTTTGTGGGAAGACTATTGTATTTTATGGGTGTCTTTGTGCTACCACTTCCATTTTTTAAAAAAAAGGTAAAAATGAAGTAAATGACAGAAAACGTGATATATATATGTCTTTATATATATATATGTGTGTGTGTGTGTGTGTGTGTATATATATGTATATATATATGTGTGTATATATATATATGTATGTGTGTATATATATATATATATATATATATATATAAAGACAAATGCAAGGAATGGAAACTCTTAAGAACTATTTTAACATCAAATACACTGAAATCAATGAAGGTCTAACAACTAAGAAAGCACTACAAGCCTAAATTTGAAATCTATAGAACAAATCTTAAATAGCTGCCTAGCTGATTTAATCCTAGAAGCAGCATTCAGAGAGAACTAGGTAAGTTAAAAGTTTATAAAAATTTGCAGGACATAGAGTAAAGAACAGAGAACCTTGGAGACCAAAAGGGTGCTAGTGGTAGGTGGGAGCTTCAGCAGCTTATGTGACAGCACTGACCCCCAACCCCAACATGAATTGGCTTGCTTTGGCTCTTCCCTCAAGCAACCGGAAATGCTTCCCTGTCATTTTCAAGCAATCCTCAAACTCCCTGGGAAGTCCCCCAATAATGCCATTTAGAGATGCACAGAAGCAAAAATAGAACAACTCAGATTTTGATTTCCAGTTGATTTTCTATTGAACATTCTCCTGTGGCCACATTTTAAAAGAAAACTGAGGCACTTACTGCAGGAACGAAAACAACACACATTGATTCTGTCTCCATGAGCAGAGAGATCCATCTCACTGCACTGATGATGCCACACAATTAACCATCAGCATACTCCCTTCTTCCTCCTTGTCCTGAGACATGATTTATTACTGTCTAGGTTTGTGTCACTGGTGCCAGCTGGCACACTTGCCATCTCTGTTGCCTTCCTCAGCTCCATTTAGGAATGCATGGAGAGAGGCCATAATGTTGGTGTCACATGAGCAGATGGTGAGGCCATGCTGGGTGCAAGTACTGGTGGAAGGGTTGAAGATGTCAGCGTGAAAGAAGCAATTATGGCAGTGGGGGTACAACAGGGTGTAAGGAGCTCATGTACCAGGGACTTTCCTCATCTGTTGCTTTCCAAGGATGACAATCTAATACGGTGGCAAAAAATGCATTAAGTGCTGATCATTCCATGAGGATTCAGAAGGCAGAAGCCAGAAGCCAGCAGTATTTGAAATTCAGCTTCCTGTGGTTGGGAGCACTGTGTTTCTACTGAGGCCCTTTGCTGGTTAGAGAAAAGTAAAAATGTTAAGAAGAATAGTAATTGTGAAGGTCACAAAGCTGAGAGAAGAGGATGAGAACATTTTCCAACAGGCTGTTAAGTCTGGAGGAATTGTGGGCCAATAATTTATATGTCCTGATACAAGCTGGGAAACAGGGAATCAGGTGATGAGGATGTGATTGATGTGAGCCTGTGTGTCCAGGGCAGTAGGACAGAGGCAAGATGTTGAAATGAGAGTATACATGAAGCATCTTGTCTCGAGTAAAGGGCATATTTCAAACTGGGGAATCCTAGTGCTGGGTGACCAGCTTCTTGAGGACTGAGAGGCTTCCTGGGGCACAGGACTTTCAGTGCTGAAACTGGGATGGTCGTGAGCAATCTGGGGTGACTAAACACAAACAATGAACCAAGCACAGACAAAACTGAGACGATGAATATTTTCCTCCCCAAGGAAACTTCTCATGCTGGTTCAGCCATGAGATATCAAAACTAGTCAAATAGCAACTCTTCTTGTGAGCTGCTTCTGAACTTGGTCTCACTCTAAGTGCTGTGAAGCTGAGGAATTCTCAGCCATGCTCTCCAATCCCAAGTAATTTGTAATCTACCTGGGGTGTGCCCGCCAACACAGGGAACAGGCAGTCTTCTGTAGGAGGGGGTCTGCTGATCCCAAGTGGGAGTCATGCATGGCTGCATGTGCCTGATGAACTGGTTGGGAGGGGAGTTGATGGAAGGAGAACAAGGGAAGTGGGGATATTGCCTGAGACAGAAGAGAATACGTGGGGAGGGAGAGGGCTGTGTGGTGTCTGCTTAGGGTATTGGTTTTGGCCCAGCCCCATCAATATAGATGTTCCGTTCCATAGAGCGAGGATAAAGGAAACGCTGGGCAGAAGGAGCATGGCATCAGAGCTTAGG